CTGGCTTCATCTGTCGAGACTGATAGCTGACGACCCGTTCACGTCCTTCGTCGTCAAACTGCATCAGCGCACAGCCGATGGCAAAGTCGCTCGCGTCGCAAACGACGTGATATGGTTTCGAGTCGTCGGGAAGAGCTAAGATCGGCGCCTCAGCAAGGCTCTTCTTCACTGAGTCGAAGGCGGCTTGGTGCGCTGGTGACCAGACCCATGTGGCATCTTTCTTCAGGAGTGATGAGAGGGGCTGGATCAATCCGGCGTAATTCTTCGTGTACTTGTGGAGATAATTTGCTAGCCCCAACCACTGACGCAACTCAGTGGGGTTCTTTGATGTCGGCCATGCGCAGATAGAGGACACCTTCTCCGGGTCGGCGCGAACGCCGTCCTTGCCCACGAAGCAGCCCAGCACCGGAATCTCCGGCGCGCAGAAGATACACTTCTTCAGGTTCGCGTACAACCTGTTCTCGCGCATCACTTGGAAGACCTGTTTTAAGTGCCTCAAGTGGACTTCTATCGCGCTGAGACCATCCTCAGCGCGGCTGTGCACGAAGATGTCGTCGAAGTAGCTCGGTGCGAAGTCTCTAAGCGGACGCAGCACATGGGAGACCATGCGATTGAACGTGGCGGGAGCATTCTTCAAGCCTTGTGGCATCACAAGCCACTCCCAGAGCATACCGCTGGGGGTGCTGACCGCTGTCAGGGGGATGTCGCTCGGTCTCATCAAGATCTGATAGAATCCATCGGTCAAGTCGATGGCGCTGAAGACGACACTGCCCGCCATGGTGTCGAGCACCATGTCCTTCCGGGGAATTGGGGTTTGCGCGGAGATGGTCGCATCATTCAACTTGTTAAAGGCATGAACGATGCGCCATCCGCCTGTGGCCTTCTTCACACAGAACGTTGGGCTCGAATGTGGAGAGACACTCTCACGCACGTGACCCGCTTTACGGCGATTCTCGAAGAAGTCGTCGATGGCCTTGACTTGATCTCGCGGCAGCGGCCACTGCCGCGTCACACAGTACTTTGAACCGGGCGCGAGATCGATCTCGTGGCGGACGCCTCGATCGGCAGGCAGTTCGGCTGGAATCTTATCGGGAAAGACGTCCGCGTATTCGCGGACGGTCTCGTACACTGGATTACCAGACTCGCGCAAGGACTCCCAGGACTGCGCTGCGAATCGCTCCTCGCGAGCGGACTTCGGTTCGGCGCTCTTGGGACGGGTGGATCCGTCGTCATCACTGACGGTGTTCCCTTCGAGTGGCGTAGGCGAAGTGTCTGTGATCAGGCAGACCTGCTCAACCTCACCAACCTTGAGACCACGAAGGAAGTTCTTCCAGGAGAGACCTGGAAGCCGGGTGATCGATTGAGCATCGCGAGGTGAACACACAAGATCGACGGTGCGCTGACGGCCTATGCCGTCGTCCACGTGCTCAATGACACAGACCGACTCCGTCTGTGAGATGCCGCTCGGTGCAGTTTCACGTCGTGGCTTCAAATGACGGCGCTTCGACTTCTTTGCCCGGCGCCTCGAGTGTGTACTCGAGGAGGAAGAATCGCTCTCGCTGGACGATGTATCACCCCGCTCTAGGCACTGAAGCTCACTCTCGACTGTGCCGGTCACACGCGGGGGCCACTGCTTGACCGCGTGGTCGTTCGGCGGGAGCTCCAACTGCTCGACCACCGGCTCGGGTGACGGGAGCCTCGACTGCTCGACTGCCGTGTTGCATTGCGGGAACCCATGCTCGACCGCCATATTGTGCTGCGGGAACTCATGCTCGACCGCTGTGGTGCGCCGCGGGAACCCATGCTCGACCGCAGTTGTGCGCTACGGGAACCCATGCTCGACCGCTTGCTCGTATTGCGGGAGCCCCTGCTCGACCGCCATCGTGTTCTTGCTCTCGCCTCGCGGCGAGGAGTCTTCGTGCAACAGCACTGCGCAAGCCGTGCAGAGAGGGCCATCGCCCACTCTGTGTCCAGCCTGCGTCGTGGACGACCGGTCCACGACGGTGACGTGGGGCCAGTCCTTCTGGGCAACCAGGAGGTGGGTGAACACCTCGCTCACGTCGAAACCGCTGCGGTGTTTAACCGAGCGGGCCAACCAGTCAATCTCTGGTTGATACCGTGACAACCACGGGATGCCCAGGATGCAATCGAATGCGTAGTTCATCTCAATCACGAGGAAGTCGTCATTGCTGCGAAAGCCGTCGAAAGTGTACGGCAACGTAATCTCGCGCCGCGCGACGTGCGCAGCTTTCCGTCAGCAAGCTTGACTACAACCTGTCCGTGGCCGTTGCGGACAGCGGATTTCGCTGGGTAGCGTCGACAAACACGACTCACGGAAGAGTTGTTTGTCGCTCCTGAGACCACAAGCGCGCGTAGTGCACGTCGGGCGCCGGCGACATGGAGCTGATGATGATCAGTCTTGAGTCGCCGACGCTGTGGTGGCATTGAAGTGTGCGTGTAGCACGCGACGGCTAGAAAGGTTGGGTTGCACGGGGGACCCGGACCTCCATTCCAGCCAGTAGGGCGCCCCGCACCTACTGGCCCTGACCGTTTTTTGGCTGATCGGTAGGAGAGGCATCGACAGTATGCGTGAGCACTGGCGCGGGCGCGCGGCACTCAGCCGCGCGATGTCCAACCTTCCGACAGCGGAAGCAAGTGAGGGATCGACTGGGACGACCACCATTCGCGCGAGGGACTGCACGACGGCGGTTGTTCGACGCGTCAATCGCGTCGATCTCCATCGGCTCCGGAGCTGACTCTTGAGCTTCCAAGGACATTGCCCGCGCGTACGACGCCGCCACCACGTAGTCTTCACGAAGTGCGAGAGCAAATGCCTCCTCGAGTGAGGAGGGTTCCGCTCGAGTCAGACAGTATCGCGTCATGCCTTCACGCATGCCGAACACGAAGACGTGGACTTGAGATGCCACGTCAATCGGATTGGTGACGATGCAGGACGCGAGGTGGCGTGTCTTCTGGACGTAGTCGCGCATGGTCATCTTGCCTTGTCGCAGAGCGAAGAACTCTGCGCGCACTCGGGACTCGTCTTGTGGAGGCTCGAAGGCGAGACGAAGATCACTCTGGAGGGCCTCCAGGGTGGAGAACGCATCGTTGTTTACGACCAGTTTGCCGAGTGCCCACTCCTTGGCTTTCCCGGCCAGTCGGGAAAGTAAGAAGTTAACTTTCGCTCCTTGCGCCTCGATCATCCTCGAGGCGATAGCGATATCGACTTCGCGAAACCAGCGATTCAACGGAAGGCGATTCGCTCCTTCACCGGAGTAGGCTGACGTTTCCAACTTGACGATGTCATTCCTCGAGAAACGCGAGGGAGTTGTCGCTCGCCGATTCGCGTCGGCGAGCTCGCGTTCCATGAACTCTTGAGCTGCTTGACGTTGTTGATCGGGAGTCGCTGAGCTCAGCAGCGACGCGACAACAGCCTCACCGGACACCGCCGCAAGGCGGTGAAAGGCTTCCCACTCGACACGAGTGAGATGAGGGAAAGCAGCATGCTCCAGGGTTGGCCCTGAAGCTTCAGACGTCTGGCCTTGGCTCATTGTGAACCTGGTCATGGGAAGGACTACTAAGTGCTACCAGGTGTAACGGGCCTAGAGTGTCCGTTACTAGCTTACACGTAATAATGAGGAAGCGTGCAAGTTCCGCGATAGTGAAACCAAGTGCTTAGTCTGAAGGAAAATCAACTCTGTTTTTATTTAGGTCCAGGGCAGCTTGCCCTGACCACTCAAATACACGTCAAACCCTTATTGGCTGATAATGGGTCTGGCTCCCCATATATCAACCAATAGGATGACGGCAGTTCAGCACACGCTAGCCGTGTGCTGCTGCACCTACTTTTGTAATATAAATCTACCTACTTATGTAATGGCGTGGCCCACTACAAGAATCCAGTACTTGACGTCCACGTGCTCCAGGAGTGCAGCGTCAAGGTCCGAGCGGCGCTGTCCCGGAAGAAGGAGCATCAGGACGGCCTGCCAGGTAGGCCGCTTCACACCATCCGCGTTGTCGAAGAACGGGCTCGCGTTGGTCTCCAGGAGACACGGGTCGCGGTCGAGAGTCGCGTATACAGGGACGTCCCAATGGCCTGTGAGCTCGTCGGGCGCCTCCAAACGAACCATGCGACCCCCGAGGTTGGCGTACGACGAGCGCGGTGGGCTCCGGACTGGGATGGATGAACATGCTGCGACAACGGGCGTCATAAAAAATTCTCACTGGCAGCCTGGCTGCTTCTTCACGTAAGCTCTGCGTTTCTTGGGCCGGCCGAGCTCTGAGCTCCTGGCGTCAAATCGGCGAATGACAGGGATTCGCTGTTCAGTGCGGCTCGGAAAACCCGGTTACCTTTTTCGTACTTAACCGAGCACTTTATATCTGCAAAGCACAATACTTTAAAACTCTATCTGCTCGAGTGATTGTGGTGTGGAAGAGACTTACGCCATAAGTATTCATACCTACGGAAGAAATGTTAAATTGCTACGGCTTTTCGAGCCGCTTTATTAGCCTGGTTACAATAAAAATACGGTAAAGTAAGGTTTATGAGCGCCAATCAGCCATCGATAATTTAGTTTTTTTTTTACTTTAAGTTCGAGTTTTTGATTTGACGTGGCATTTAAATTCCGGACAGAGGATTTACAAAAAGCGCACGGCTGTTAATATCAGAGTAGGCATAAAGAGTATTTTCGAGATATTATCTCGAAAATAAAATCTCGAAAATACTTTTTATGCCTGATATTATCTCGAAAATACTTTTTATGCCTCTTCGAGATCTCCACCCAAATATTATTCGAAGTAATAAAATTCATCGCGGCGATCCGACACCAAAAGCACCAATGTTCGAGACGATGTCTCCCCTGCCCGGTAACGTCGCCTTATGAAAGCTGACGATGAGTCCAATTATCTGGGCTGCGCCAGGCGAGAGGGTCAATCTAGTCCGGAAATTGTCCTTGTTTATCAAGAAACCTTCTTATTACTTCAAAGTGCATGAAGAAATGCTATTCGAATTGGATGTTGAAGTGGTGAAGTGTAGCAAGAAGCCCATGGCATCCGAGACCGAGCAGAAATCCCACGCCCGTGTTGAAGGCAAGGCATCCCGATGTCGTGGCCAGTAGCAGCAGTGCAGCATCGTGCTCGACTTTGAGTCCGACGATGGCGAGACTCAACCCGCTAAAGACCAGCATGACGCCGAGCACGGATGACGGGAAGATACCTGTCTGAAGTAGAGACACGCACGTGGATCCCAGAAGCAGAGCGAAAAACATCTTGAAAGTCCCGAGAAATACCATCGCTAGGCTGCTGCGTGCACCGAAAGTGTACTGAGAGGCCAGACCACCTGCACCATGACAGACAGGCAGCATGCCGAACCACGAGAATAACAGGTTCCCGCCAGCGATGCTAAAGCACACACGACGTACACCCGCGGGTTTGTCGTGTGTTGGGAAGAGCTCCACCGCCAATGACTCAAGAGCAACGACTGAGTTCAGCAGAGTGAGCGGTAGTTGGGGCAAGGCGAGATACACAAAAGCCTCGCCGAAATCGTGCGCTGACGGGATCACTGGTGCAACGAACACTGAGCCGAAAAACGACAGCGCAGGTAGGTGATATTCTTCACGCAAGCGCACGTACTGGTACACAGCGACGAGCATTCCGTAGATGAATAGTACAAGTGCCATAGGAATTTTCTTGTTGCGAATGAACACGACGCACGACGCTCCAAGCAGCAGTGAGACGGACACCGAATCGAGACCAACTCGTCCTTGGTTTGTGCTGTAGCTTTTACATACGCAGTTTTGAAGCCTTTGCCCATCAAGTTAATACCGACACCCAGCTGAATTCCACGAATAATAGCTACAGGCACGACCTTGCTGGCATGCGTGATAATGTTCGTCACTGCCAAGAACCCCACGATGGCCCCCATTAGAATACTAGCGGCGATAATTTGCTCGTTTGGGAGCTTGTCAGCAATTGCCACAGCTGCAATAGTCTTCATGGGCTGCACCGGGATCGGTACATTGAAGTGAAGAGCCAAACTTGACGTGAAGACGCCCGCGAAGAACAGGGCTGCGCCGAACTCAATTTGCGGTGCACCATGCACTCGTCCAATGGCTAGCGCAGTGAGCAGCGGCAGGAATAGTCCGATATCCCCGAACGCTCCAGAGAGCTCCTGCAACGTCATATACTGCTTAAGATACGCTCGCCATCCCGGCCTAGTAAACACGAACAGCTTCCGATGCAGAGGCTGTCCGATCTGCGGCCCCGTCACCTTCGCAAACCCTTCGCTTGCTTCCGTAGGTAGCAAAGGGTTCGCCACAGATCCCTTAAAGTCGTCCGACATTTTGGTTTAATGGTCAAGGAAAAGGGGGAAATAATGGAGATGAGCTGTGGGTGCCTCAATCAAAAGGTATCATCGCTTTGGATTGGGATTATCGGCTTGCATGATGGCTGTAGAATGCGAACGCTTGATTGAAAAATTATATTCCGAGTTGTTTTTGTCGCACACAGTTTCTGACCTCACCCTTCTGCTACTGCGCATCCGTCGGAGTCGAGCGGGTGCTGAACAAAGCCCGATCCCCATGTCGGTCTGCATTACCGAGTTTGAGGTCTCTTGTCCTGTACGTACATACCTACTGCGGTGGCTCCCACTCGAACGGCTCAGGCGGCTCTGCCTCGTTCTCCGCGCCAGCGGCGGCGGGCGCCTTGATGGCTTCCACATCCTCGGTCTCATCGGGCGTTGTGTCACGCAGCATGATAACTCCTGCCAGTCTCTGTGCAGGGTGCATCACCGGAACGTACCTCTGCGCTGTGTCCAGAGAGATTACAGACTCCTGTGCCAACGTCACACGTGCGGGCGTCGTAAATGTGAACACGCTCGGCTCCTTAGCTGCCGGTGTCTTCTTACTGGCTGCCGGCTTGGATCCCTCAGTATCCACCTCCATAGCATCGCTCTCCTTCTTCTCTTCGTCGGCGGCAGAGCTGTCCTTCTCCTCCATTACGATGTCTCCACTAGCATCAGGCTTGGCTGCTTTCTCCTTCGCGTCCTGCTTCGCCTGACGCGCACGAGCCTTGGCAGTTGTAGACAGCACAGCTGTGGCAACCAACTCTTTCTTCTCCTCCTTCTTCTCCTCCATGCGCTTGGGGGTGGCAAACGCTGATTTCTTAGCATTGCACGTGAGTTCAAAGCTACGCGGGAGCTTCAAGTCCTTGTTCAGACCAACCGCCATGGTCGTCTGGAAGGACAGCTCCAAGAAGTTAAACAGAGGGTACCAGAACCAGTGCTGAGCCCAAATGGCCAGCCCCACCACAGCAGCCATCTTGGTGAATCCAGAGTGAGACTGCAGCGAAATAACTACATTGCGTCCACCAGCATCCAAGATACCCTGAGCCAGGATAGCACCCATCTTAGTCATCGTCGTAACGTGCTTGTCCGTAATGAGCTTAAGAATCTTTGCGCGAATAGCAGCCACCTTCGGGTTGCGACCCTCAGACTCCTGCATAATAACCATAGCCAAGGCCAACAAAGCACCCTGACGCACGTAATCTACAGCGTCATCAAGTAGCGGCTCCAGTAGTTGAATGGCCTCGTTCTTGGCAGTGCCAGCGCACGCAATACCCACAGCCACACAAGCACCGTAGCGGACGTGAGGGTTGAAGCTCTCAGCCAGCAATGACACCAACTTGGGCACCTGCACAGGCGTGCGGAACAAAATGAAGCCCAGACACGTGACAGCAGCGCGACGCACATCGTCGGACACATCGCTCACAGCCACGTGCAACAGTCGTCGAATAGCAGTGTTGTTCGCAGTGCCAGCGTACGCCATGGCAATAGTGTACATGCCTCCATAGCGGATCAACGGGTCCTTGTCCCGAGTCAACTGCTCGATCAACGTGTCGGCCTGCTCTTCACGCTCGTACATCGTCAGCGCAATGCCCATCACACAGCCACGAATGATCTTCTCGTGCTTCGTGTCGTGCGCGTATGCCAGCAAGTCCTTCACGATCTCTCCGTTGCGCCCCTCACCTCCAGCACCAAGCAAAGTAAGACCAATAGCAATACCAGCACCCTCGCCCGCGACGGCGGAATCCGTAAACAGCACAGTCTTGAGCTCTTCGTACAGCTCGTAGTCGTGGGAGGCCAAGCCGCACAGACCGATACCCAAACACGCGCCATGCTGCACAGTCTCGTCTGATCCAGCATTCTTGAGCGCATTACGCAGATACTCCATCGTGGTCTTGCTGCCCGAGCCCGCAAAGCCCTTATTGGCGTGGATCAACCCCATCGCATACAAAGCGCCGCCTTCCGAGTACGGAGACGTCGTCATGCCGCCTTGAGGCAAGTAGGGAGCCAAGAGGTTCATGCTTTCGCGAACGTGGCCTTTGTGCACAACACCCAGACTTGCAGTGGCTGTGAACTTCGCCCAGTTCGTAGCCTTGCCCAGCCACTCCAAGTTTTCGCGCAGAAAGGAATCCGACGTGGTACCGCAATTCATGTAAGCGTGTGCGATCACAGCCGCATGGTGCAGCACCGAGTTGCGGTTCTCCACTGCCGTCTTAATAGTTTTCATAACAAGCGGGTCTGAGTCGCTGCGGCTGTGGAGGAAGTCCAGCTTCAAGTCCACAAGGAATTCACCCGATAGAATCTGCTTCAGCTTAGCCACCTTGTCCCAGTAATCAGCAGAAGCTCCAGCAGGAGCGGGTGGAGGCATAGCAGGTACAGCTGGGGTGGGTGCAGGCGTCTCTGTCTTGCCCTCCTCAGCCGTCGTGGTCGTGTCTGCCGCCGGTTCTGCCGCAGGTGCCGGTGGACTCGGTAGTGCGTGATAGACATTCATTAGGAACTTTTGGTTCTCGTTCTCATTGAGATCAAATGCGACTTGGTAGGCGACGAGGCAGTCGCGGTCGCTGCCACGCACGAGCTGCTCCAGGATCTTGCTGACTTCCACGTGGTTGTCCAGCATATGTAGGATCTGGCACACACTAGCGTAGTCCTGCGTGGGACGGGAGCGGTAGACTTCCAGCATGACGTCGAACACCTTGAGACGGAAGTGGCGGTTGCTGACCACAGTCTTGCAGATCTCGAAGCAGTATGACAGCGCTGCCGATACGTCAGTTGAGCGTGCAAGGCACTCTTTCACCTGGTCCAATCTTCGAGCCTCCAATGCGATGCCCATAGCTTGACGGAACTCGCCCGCGGCATAGCAGCGTTCAAACATGCGCTCCACCACCTGAGTGAGTCGTGGGTCCAGAGCCTTCTCGGCCTCCAAATCCTCTTTGACACGTACAGCTACGTAGTTGTCGATGCACGTGGCGATGATCGTATCTGTGTACTGAGAACGCGTGTTCAAATCGAAGTATTTGCCGGCACCCAGAGCCAAACGCAGTGCGTCCTCGTACTCCTCCAAGTGGAAAAAACACTTGGAGGCGACGTAGGCTGCCAACTCGCGGTCTGGAAAGTTCTTCTCCTCCGATAACTCCTCGATAAGCGGAATGGCATCTGCGATCTCGGCCCAGTAGTGGTCCACCACTTGGTTTAGCTTCTGGAGAGCATGGGTCTGGTTGATGATTGCAATCATAGCGGCGTTAATAATGGATCCCTGAAGATGGATCGACCAGATTTAAGTGATGTAAGCTGACGCACCTTAAGTACGTTGTCTTCTTCTTCTAGGAGCGCGAGAACGCCCGCAGCTGAGGAGATACAAACAAAAGATCCACCCGAGTAAAGTTAGATTTGTGAAAGCTTCAGAGGCCGGTGGGAGGACCGGCTTGCATATAATGGAGGAAGAAACGGAGCGGGTAAAGGGATACATAGGGGGAAGCACTCCCAGCGCCAGATAACGTACCAGAACTGCCGAGTGCGACGGTCATCCTGTCACTTCCTGTTGTTGCTTCACACCCCGCCAGAAAGAAATCTTCCTCGCTTCCCCCAAAAGGTAAAATCGGACTTTAGTGACGTGAAACGGTACACTTGCAAACTACAATATATTACAAAAATAGCTATCCGCATTAATTTTTGAGTCAGCAGGTAAGTGCAAAGATACTTTTGCTTTTAGCTAGCAAGCTATCTGTTATCAAGCAGCATCACAGCACCCGAATATTGCATTGACAGTCAAACTGATAGAGGTACTAGCGAATGATAAAAAGTGTCATCTGGATATTGTCGTCGTGAAAGTAATAGGTTGCCCGGTACGGCCAGTAGAACTGCATTTTGGCTAAAAAATTTGCATAAATCGCTGCGCCTGCTTGTCCTTTCTTATGAGATCCATGCGCCCGCCATTCACATAAAGGTCATGCACTATTTAAACTGTTTGCACACCTCAATGTACTTCATGATCTCGCGTGCATCCTGCTCTACAAGTACGTAATAGGCATGGTTTTTGGATAAAAATGGATACCAGAATCCACGTAATAATACAAGACATGCCCGGGTTCTCAGCAAGCAAAGCCTGACGATCATTTAATGGTCGTCAGGCTTTGCTTGCTGGAGTCCGATACCTTAAGCATCCGGGGCACAGAAAAAGAAACGCTGACAGTCGAGCTATGCAGAAACCAGACTCAACAGTAGCCTGCTGTAATGGAAGTACGCACGCTGCTTAGAAGGGATGGGTTTTGTAGGGACAACGTTATTATAGATAGGTTGTTATTTTATACATAAAAAAAGAGCATATATTAAACCGATTATTTGCTTATTTTTGCCGTCATGTTTTTTTGGGGTGATACTCGTTGTTACGCGTTTCTGCTCCATCTCCAGCGCTGCTGCACCCAGTCTCAGCTCTTTAATCGTCGTCTACGCTGGGGAAGAGAATATTGTCGTCATTCTCTTATATATATCGCAAAGCTTGAGCTCCACGCTCCAAATCCTCCACCAAAACGTTGTCTTCAAGTAGCATGCGCCCCCACCCACGCGAAATCTTCTCGCAGCTGATGATATGGATGAATAACATTATCTCTCCGACGTATCTTACTTTTAGTATGCTGCGCACTAGCCAATGATAATCGTTTCTTATTCTTTATAGCCAATTAAAGCGATCTCCGTTGCATTGGGCGAATCAAATTGCTTCAAGAATACAATTATATCCAATTAAACTATAGTTTAGGGTGCAGTCGGAAGCTGAGCAATTCCGACGTATCTAGTCGGAGTTGACGACCAGATATGTGTATAGTAATACTTGCTAAAGGTTTGCCACGTATCACCTGCATATTTCTACCTCTCCGACCAAGAACAATGAGCCTGAACGACTTGAAGCCCGCCAACACAAAGCGCGCGCGTGCGACGGCTTTAAAAGCGTTTGAGCGCTTCCTGTCTTTAGAGAATACTACCATGGAGCACGTCGTGGCTTTGATCGTCGCAGACTCTAGTCGCGCGAGTAGTATACTAGTGACTCTAATGGACAAGTTTGGTGTGTACCTGGCATTCCACGCAGGAGCAAAGGGGCAGCCTCTGTCGCGCCACTCCGTCGCTCAATACTTCCGCCAGGTGAAATGCTGGCTTTTGGATGAGTATCCTGTTCAAGGTGGCGCTGTAGCACGACAGCTGCTAAGCATGGGGAGTACCCTTGAACAGCACTGCATCAAGCGTGAAAGTGGTGGGTTCGTCAAGAAGGCTATTGCGTGCACAAAAGAGGATCTCACGAAGATGATAAGCTACTTATATTCAACGGCTCGCTGTGCGTCGGACTACCAAGATGCTGCGTTGTTGTTCCTCCTGTGGTACCTCTTCGGCCGTGCATCAGACATTACGTTCGTCCGGAAGCAGCAGCTCTCCATCGGAGCTGGAGGGGTTTTCTTTATCCGATTCATCCGCGTGAAGACGTCCGATGAGCAGTCACTGTCACTTTTTCCTGACGCTGACTTCATGACTTGTCCGCTGCTAGCGCTCGCGCTGGCCTTGATTACGCAGGAGTCTCCGTGTGCAGCGTTGCTAAACCATTTGCCGGTGAAGTCGAAGAACGTTCCTGTTGACCTAGCTGCCTCGATACCATTACTGGAACTTCTTGACGACAATAGTGCCCTGAATTCTTCTCAGACGTCGCCAGGTAGCACCACTGTTCACGCGACACCAACAGTTGGAATCCACGCTCTTGTCAGCCGCGTGCTCGATCGCGTTGCTGGTCCTGCTGGAGTCGAAGTGTCGCTGACGTCACATTCGTTTCGCCGTGGCGGCGCGCAACACGCGAACGCAAACTCAGAGCTGGCAGCTCAATGGATCTTTGATCGCGGAGCTTGGAACTTGACTACGACTAACAAAGCCTTTGCGTACGTCTTCAACACCCCTAAAGAAGATCATCAAGTTGCTAAGGTGCTGAGTGGGATGACGCCAAAGCAAGCCTCTTCTCTCCCGTCCCTGGAATCCTTCAACGCTGCAACACTAGAAAAGGTTAGAGAGGTTAGCCGGAAGCTTTTAAACTCGAGCCATGATCTGGGTAACAAGGCCTTTAACGTCTGCGCTGTTGTGAGAGATGTGCTAACAGCAACCCTCCTCCTCCACTACCCGTCGTTAGTGAAGATCGGCGCGAAGACACCTGCAATGAAGACAATTCACCTATGTGCGGAAGCCTCTGGAGTGACGACGACCAACCTGCTTGCATGGTCACAACGGCTCACAGCGTCAAACGAACACGCCAACACCACCGCCGAAGCCATGACTGAAGAAAATATAAAGGCCAACGCTGCGTTGAATTATCAAACTGCCTTGATTGAAAGGTTAATCGAGGTCAACCGTAGCCTTGAAGCTCGAGCTAGCTCGCTAGAAGCTGCAATGAACAACACCGAAGGGGAAACTTTAGCACGAGATAATCAAGCCAAGCGAGTAAGAGACGAAGATGAAATCGTACCAGTAAAGCGTCGCCGTCGATCCAAGACAATACCGCTTGTTGACACGTGGTTTGCGTGGTACACGGCTGTTCCGCGTGGATGGCAGAGTACTAATAAGCACAAGAAATCGGATTCCAAGCAGCTCGTGGCCTTCATGAGGCTTTTCATCAAAGACGGGTACGCGCTCGACGAGTTATCATCCAGCTACAAAGATACAGTACGTCAGCTCGGAGAGTTAGCGTCAAACAAAGTCACAGTGTTCCTAGGCGAGCAGGGCGTACCGTCAAAGGGATCCAACGCTGTGCTTAAGGTTCTTCGGCAGATGCACCGCGAAGGCAAGCTGAATAGTCTCATCAGTGCCTACCATCAGCGTTTTACCATCGGCAGAGTTGTAGACCCTACACCAACACAGCACCAAAGCATGCTCAAACTGCTCCCGTAACACAATCCAATCTCTCTGTGTCCTTGTAGCTGGTTCTTATATCATGTCAATCATGTAGAGACTTGCAAGGCATTCGAGCATAAATTTTTTACCAATGGGTGGATTTGAACCACCTCCTTCCCTTTCGGGAGCTCTACCATTGAGCTACATCGATGGGGGTTAGACAACAACAGCACAGGGATACTCATCTGGGTGCTCGACGGGGAATTAACGGTGATTTACTGTTCTTTGTGGCCGCGACATACCCTCTTAGGTGTACCGATGTGCGGTACGCCCCCCTCAATTCACCGTTCCAGGTGGTCAATCGAGCACTGAGCTTGCAGGGCAAAATGGCGCAGTCAATATTGCATTGGCGCCACTCGTTTACGAGGAGTAATTACGCTCAATGAACCAATTAAGCGCGCTTTTACGAAACCTCCAAATTTAGGTATTAAGTACGATATATAAAGTTTTGCGATACGTCGGATCGGAGTCGGAAGGTGCTCGGCTGGTCGGAGTCGTTATGATATGGCGCTGCATATGTTTCACCATCGCAGACATGGTCGTAGTGCAGTGATTACAGTACACTTCACTCGCCGAGTCTTATACTTCCCCTTGGGATGATCCTTGAAATGAGACCACACACCTTCTTTGCGTACCCGACCCATTGATTGAAGAATTGGAAATGCCCAACGCGAAAGGCAAGAACCAAAGGCACAACCAAGCTTGGTTAGCCAGTCATTTAGTCCACTTGCGACGAGTTCCGAAGGTGAAATGGCAACGTTGACAAAAAAAACACAACAAAAAACGGAAAAAAAACATTTTGAACCGAAATTCGATTTTTTTGCCGAAAAGATCAAAAAGACCGTTCGATAAACGTTATCAATAATATTGTCGCGCGGTTAACAAGGAAGCGTGCTTTGGTTGGAAACACCGCAGTCGTAGCAATCGCCGTTTGATTCGTCAAAGTGCCGAAAATTTCAGCTGGGTTTTTCCCGCTGGTGCTCAATGTAATGTACATGTATAAAACATGTCAGTGGCAAGCACTGCAACGGCGAACCCTGCTTCAAGCAGGGTTCGCCATTGCAAGCGCGCGTATCTACCTGCCTCGACAGCGAGTTCAACGCTTTGTCCGCTCTGTACACTTCTGGTCGCTCTGTTCGTTGCTACTGACTTTGTGTTTGTAAGTGGACGAACGGACGTCATCCACTGCGGTAAGGTGATGGGAACATGCTGAAGCAACTAGACTTTCACAAGTGTACGGTTCATCTTGTAGGTTATAATACCAGTACCCTAGCACTGCGAGCCCGCCATGCTTCAAGCAGGTCGTGAGTTTGTCAATAGTAAAGCTGTCATGGTTGCCTAGATCAAGCTTTGGCACCCCATAGTACATGTACAATAATATGCAACTTCTACAGCTAGACATGGCGGTTGTAGTGATCCTCATGCAAATAGCTTGTTCTTTGTAAGTGGATCCGCTCACTTGTGTGTCCCCTTACAAATACCTAGTCAACAACCTGACGTGGTCCTGTGGTGGCGAAAAGGGGAGTTTTGGCTCGCTGACAGACGCGCAATGGCATTTCAGAATCCGCTTTGTCCCCGTCGACGCCAGACTCACGCAACGCTATGAAGGTTGTCGTCGTCGGCTCCGGCATTGGTGGTACCTCCGCCGCCTACCACTTGGTCAAGGATGGCCACGAAGTTGTGCTTCTCGAGAAGAACGCGACGCTGGGCGGCCACACGTACGAGATGGAGATCGACGGCGAGATGGTAGACATCGGCTTCATGATGTTCGGCGACTCGAACCCCAACATTAAGGAGTGGTTCAAGTCTCTGGGCGTCACACAGCCGAACGGCACGACGAAGAAGCGCATTCCCATGAGCCTCACCGTCACGTCAGACGTGAAGGGCGACCTCCAGTTCTCGTCGCGTGCCCCGTTCCATGGCAGCTTGTTCAACCTCTTCGATGTTCGTATCTGGCGCGTACTCATCGACATCTACAAGTTTACTATGGACCTTATGACCATGCCGGTGAAGGAGAACATCACTACGCGTGAGTGGGCTGCCAAGGGCCGCTACTCGGATGAGTTCTTCCGTCACTATTTCCTGGCCTTCGTCTCCATCCTCTGGACGGTGCCCAAGCAAGATGTGCTGGACCTGCCTGTGACGCAGTTTCTTCGTTGTCTGAAGACACATTCCAACTCGCTGTACATTCCGCTGTGGCAGGTGATTCTCGGTGCGCTGGGACGCCGTACGGACCGCCCGAAGCACCAGTGGTGGTACGTCGGCTCGGGTTACATTGAGCCATTCCTTAAGCTCTTTACCGAGGAGTACAATGGCACGGTTCGTTACAACGCCGCTGTTGAGCAGGTGGAGAAGGGCGGCAAGGCCGTGATTCTGAAGGGCGGGGAACGGATTGAGTGCGACCACGTCGTGCTCGCTACCCACGCTGACGAGAGCGCTGAAATGCTGCGTTGGAGCGAGAAGGCGTACCGCTCGCTCATGCGTTTCCACTACCACAAGAGCATGATGTATGTCCACCGTGACCCGATCATGCTGCCTCCGTCGAACAAGGTGTGGAGCAGTTGGAACGTCTTCATCGCTGAGGACGAACAGTACATTTTGACGTACTGGATGGACCGAATCCAGCGCCTGAACAGCAAGAAGGACGTCTTTGTGACCATCACGCCGCATGACTTCCAGGGCAAACGTCCCGAATCTGAGCAGGTCATCTCTGCTTTCCGCTGGGACCACCTGCGGCTTCTGGCGGACTGTATCCCACAGGATGAGATCATTCAGGAGGAGGGCGTCACGCTCTCCGGATGCTGGCTGGGGCGTGGTTTCCACGAGGATGGCTTCGTCGCTGGTCGCTGTGCTGCTGCGATCATCCGCAACCCGAAGCACAAGAAGACGCCGCTGTACGAGGACCCCGGCAACGTTCCGGTCCCGCCTGTGCCTCCTTTCGGCATCCCGCTGAGCATCCACCTGATTGGCGCGGCTGTTTTCGGTCTGGTGGGCTACGGAGTTTCCAGGCTGCTGGAGAAGTAATAGAGCACGACTTTGCTTTCTTGACAACACTAAACACAAACGAATGTCCATTGGTCTGTACAGTTGTTATCGAAGCCGGTTTATGCCTTTGAGAATTATAGCGCAACAAAATATCAGCGACCAGCGATAAGTGATCGTTTGAATGTTCGGTAGTTTGAAGTTCGTAGTCTGAGTGAAGTGCAGACTTTGATCGCGTCATGATAGTAGCAGAGCAAACTGATGAAAGTACTCGCTGTTTCTCGTCAAATGTGACTAGAGACTAAAAAAATGGGACAGAGGCAAAGCTGATCTAACTGAAGGAGCTGTGGTCCTTAGTATTGCCGGTAAGGCGGCGGAACTTTTGCGCAATTTCGTCGAACTCAGTGCTGAGGTCGTCGAGGGAGTTAGCCAAAGCCTCCACAGGTGATGACGCGTCGTTGGTCTGCACGCGCACAGTAATGTCGTGGATAAGCGGGTGCGGGTGGCGGTATCCGCTGAAAGTCACATTTGGGTCGCGCAACAGTTGCCTGCAAGTGGTTGGTAAGAGAAGTAAGAGAGAAAGGCTTAGAACTCTGTGGCAACTTAATTATGCTTCAGGTAGCGTACATGCGGATGAGGTTGCCCATGGTGTGGTCCTCGCGGAGGATGGTGAATTTCCCGGCATTGGAGATCTTGGTGTCCTTCTCGTACGTCACCTTCTGCGCACCCTCGGGCAGCAGGTACGAGTCGCTGCGGTTTGGTGCGTTCATCGTGAATTTGTTCCCTAAAAAAGTAAGATGCAAATGTGGTATACCGAAAAGTGAATAATATGTGGTACACTTCGCCTTCTAGGTCTGAAGCCATTTCGATGGAGGACAAAAGGGAAATGCCCGACGCTCAGCGCCGTCAACGTCAGCGCTCGAGGCGCCCGACCAACGATGGCAGCAGCTCGCAAACCGATGATAAGAGACAGCGCACGAAGGCTTACAAGCCGCGACCGATCCATCGACCGTGGACGCTGTACGCGCCGCCTAGAAGCGCTGAGGACCCTTCCGTGCCTCTTGTAGCGTCCACCTTCCGCTTCATGTCGTTCAACGTACTAGCAGGTACCGATTTTACAAAAGCCAAGTGAATTGCATCGATGCTGAAATAATATGTTTTTTTTTACTGTAGATTACTTGGTGATAAACGACCGCGTAAACGAACCCGCCAAACGTCATCAGAAATACGAGTCAGTTGGCCCAGTTGCTCTACGTGTTGGGCGGATGCAATGCTAACATGTAATCGCGCAGCTGGGAGTATCGTAGCACTCGCCTGATGAGAGAAATCTCGCGCTGGTCGCCGCATATCGTGAATCTGCAGGAGGTGGATCATTTTGAAGACTTTTTCGAGCCAAAAATGAAGAACGCGGGCTTTGTGGGTGTTTATAAAAGAAGGTGCGGGTGTCCTGGGTAGCCCTGAACAATGATAAGTGACTTAAATTGAGCGGTGCTATTGGTAGAACGGGTGAGAAGACACACGACGGCTGCGCGATCTTCGTGAGAAAGAGCATGTTCCGCATCGTATCCTCGCACCCGATCGAGTACCACGTGCCAGACCATCCTGTGCTAGACAGAGACAACATTGCATTGACCGCAGTGTGGGAAACAAGAGCTGCGTGGGTGGATCCATTCCTGCTCGCTTTGTGGTGGCGAACACACACTTGCTATTCAACCCAAATGTTTGTGAACTGGCGGTTGGAACTGTATACTTTAACTCCCATAGTTGACGTTAACTTGCTTGTTTTATCTTGCTGTGTAGCGTGGCGAGATCAAGTTGGCGCAGCTGGATATGCTTCTGAAGCATTTGACGTCTCTACGACAGGAGAACGCCTCGCTTCTTCCGGTCCTCCTCTCCGGGGATTTCAATTTAGCGCCACACAGCCCACTGTACCACTTTTTATCGACGGGGAAACTGGATGCGTCTGGTCTTTCTCGCTTTGGTTTATCTGGACAAAATCTAGATACGTATGCGCTCAAGGTATGTTAAGTTTCTACTGTTGATTGGTGGTGGTGATTGCAGAACGGCAATGCTAATGCCTCGCTGTTCTTGTAAATAAATACTCCGTAGAAAGCAACTCGAGTCAACGAAAATGATCGAACTCGTCACCACGGAAATGGTACTGCATTTGGCAAGTTTATCAGTGACCGAGCTCAACGAAGTGATTTTCGCGTTTACAAACTCAACACGGTCTACTCTCATGAGGTCAGCCAGATCCTACACCTTTAAAGAGATAGAAACCGACTTACACCGAGCTTCTATGACACTGTGCAGCTTGACTTCGCCAGCGCGTATGCCCAGTTGCCTGATGATAAATGCACAGGTGAGCCGAAGTTCACGATATTTCACAGTGGCTCCAAAGGCACAGTCGACTATATCTGGTACACCAGGAGCTCCCTGCACTGCCACGGTGTGGTGGAAATGATCCCCGCTGGACTCCTGTTCAAGTACGATGAGCTACCTACTACCGAGCATTCAAGCGATCACTTATCGCTGGTCGCTGATTTTTCGTTGCGCTGAAATTCTCAAAGGTAGATATAGTATAAACCGGCTAAGCTTCACTCACTCTTCGATAACAACTGTACAGACCATGGACATTCGTTTGTGTTTAGTGTTGTCGAACCAACAAGAAAGCAAAGTCGTGATCTATTACTTCTCCAGCAGCCTGGAAACTCCGTAGCCCACCAGACCGAAAACAGCCGCGCCAATCAGGTGGATGCTCAGCGGGATGCCGAAAGGAGGCACAGGCGGGACCGGAACGTTGCCGGGGTCCTCGTACATCAACGTCTTCTTGTGCTTTGGGTCGCGGATGATCGCAGCAGCACGGCGACCAGCGACGAAGCCATCCTCGTGGAAACCACGCCCCAGCCAGCATCCGGAGAGCGTGATGCCCTCCTCCTGAATGATCTCATCCTGTGGGATACAGTCCGCCAGAAGCCGCGGGTGGTCCCAACGGAAAGCAGAGATGACCTGCTCAGGATCGGGACGTTTGCCCTGGAAGTCGTGCGGCGTGATGGTCACAAAGACGTCCTTCTTGCTGTTCAGGCGCTGGATTCGGTCCATCCAGTACGTCAAAATGTACTGTTCGTCCTCAGCGATGAAGACGTTCCAACTGCTCCACACCTTGTTCGACGGAGGCAGCATGATCGGGTCACGGTGGACATACATCATGCTTTTGTGGTAGTGGAAACGCATGAGCGAGCGGTACGCCTTCTCGCTCCAACGCAGCATTTCAGCGCTCTCGTCAGCGTGGGTAGCGAGCACGACGTGGTCGCACTCAATGCGCTCTCCGCCCTTCAGAATCACGGCCTTGCCGCCCTTCTCCACCTGCTCAACAGCGGCGTTGTAACGAACCGTGCCATTGTACTCCTCGGTAAAGAGCTTAAGGAATGGCTCAATGTAACCCGAGCCGACGTACCACCACTGGTGCTTCGGGCGGTCCGTACGGCGTCCCAGCGCACCGAGAATCACCTGCCACAGTGGAATGTACAGCGAGTTGGAATGTGTCTTCAGACAACGAAGAAACTGCGTCACAGGCAGGTCCAGCACATCTTGCTTGGGCACCGTCCAGAGGATGGAGACGAAGGCCAGGAAATAGTGACGGAAGAACTCATCCGAGTAGCGGCCCTTGGCAGCCCACTCACGCGTAGTGATGTTCTCCTTCACCGGCATGGTCATAAGGTCCATAGTAAACTTGTAGATGTCGATGAGTACGCGCCAGATACGAACATCGAAGAGGTTGAACAAGCTGCCATGGAACGGGGCACGTGACGAGAACTGGAGGTCGCCCTTCACGTCTGACGTGACGGTGAGGCTCATGGGAATGCGCTTCTTCGTCGTGCCGTTCGGCTGCGTGACGCCCAGAGACTTGAACCACTCCTTAATGTTGGGGTTCGAGTCGCCGAACATCATGAAGCCGATGTCTACCATCTCGCCGTCGATCTCCATCTCGTACGTGTGGCCGCCCAGCGTCGCGTTCTTCTCGAGAAGCACAACTTCGTGGCTACCTTTGACCAAGTCGTAGGCGGCGGCGATACGACATGACACCGACGGCCTCCATAGCGTTGTGTGGGCCTGGCGTCGACGGAGACGAAGGTGTTGACTTGGTATTTGCAAGGGATTCGCTTGTACTCTCGAGTATAACACGAAAAAGTGCTTGCTGTCTTTCTCTCCGTTCGTAGGAATGCTAATGCGGGGTGACAGCTAACTCCTTTTCAAAGAACATCTTGCGAGGCAGCGGCAAGGCTACACCTTTTCTGACGCCAATTTTATGACCAGGAAGGTAGCGCAGCATCGTCGCGTTCGCGGTGCATTTCGGCCAAGCGACAGCCATTATTACGCCCTGTGGACCAAATGAATTGCCATTGACTTCTGACCAAAAAATGTCCTCGAGGGGACTCGAACCCCCAATCACCGCCTTCGGAGGGCGATGCCTTATCCATTAGGCCACGCGGACATGTTGCCACATTGTTGGCCCATTTCTCCAACAAAAACTAGTAGCTAACGATTTGAAATCACAAGCCAGGTTTTTTGACACGCGACGCAAAAAAGACATATTGTGGTTGTAGCACAGAAAATCAATAACTCTACAGAGCGGTGAAGTCATTTCGCACAAAAGTGTGGTAGGCTCACAGAAGATTGTGGTAGCTCACACAAAACCGTATGAGCTCACAGAGACTTTGGTAGATCACAACAACACACTCTTTAGCTTTCTTTTTGTCCAATCAGCGTCGAGGAGAATTAACCCCTCACCCCAACGCCCTCATTCTCGCAACTCCAGCAAACGGCCACGCGCTCCTTCGCGAAGTACTAGGCAAGGTCACCTCGGACGCGAGTCTCCGTAGGCAACGCGCGTCGCCAACAAAGGTGCCCGGCTGATGCAAGTGGTTGCAACTCCGAACGAGGTCTAACGTTGTTGGTTTGTCAATTTATGTGTATGTGCAGGAAGTGTGTAGAGGTCTCCGGGCAGTAACTCGGCAAGGACAGCTCGTCAGCAAGGATCCGTAGGCTGCCCGCGTTGGCAAGAGGTGTGTGCACCTTGTGCAAGTGGTTGCAACTCCGAAGGAGGTCTAACGCTGTCGGTTTGGCAATTTATGTGTATGTGAAGGACGTGTGTAGAGGTTGCCGGGCTGTAACACGCCAAGTACAGTTCGCCAGCAAGGATCCGTAGGCTATTCGATTTGAGAAGAGAGGTGCGCATCTATTAGTAGTGGAAATGAGTTTTGTGGAGTGCTAACGGAGATGGTATGGCTCATGTGCGTGTGGATAGGTGGAGGTGGCCAAAAAGCAGGAGAAAAGAATGGGACAAAAAATACCGTTCCACATTTTGGCAGTGGATATTGGTACTGACGAAGCCATCGACCTTGTGGAAAGTGGAAGAACGTTGCGCGAGGACCACAATCAAAGCGCAAACTGTACTATGTGCGCTACAGTTGTGCCGCATCCAATGCGGTACAAGCTATTCAGCTGTGTATCCAAAGCGTGCAAGCTTGTGTATCCAGGTGTGAAGTGCAAATGGAGGGCAAAGGTGACCACGTGTACTCGGTCTATGTTGTCATCGGCGTACTCGTATGGTGAGCACCTTTCGGGCGCTCTGGACGCGCCAACACGATCCCTAACATCCGCTCACAAGCAATATTGTCAACTTATGACAGGAGAGGGGCTAAAACCACTTCGCATTCGCAACGGTTTGAGGGTCAAATTCAGCTTGTCGACGGAAAACATGCCATCATTGTCCACGGTGCAGAACTTTGTAAACAATTACAGGAAACCAAGCTTGGTAGTCATGATCGAGTGAAGAATATTACAGCAATGGTGAGAGAGAAAGTCAATCCGTCGTGGACGAATGATGAAAATGATCCTGTCACGTTTACGTGGCATTGTGATGCGGAAGGTAATGCTGATCCAGGAAATGGGACTGACAAGAAGCCGTTTGTCGTTGGGGTGACAACAAAATCGCTACTTCGCCGGCTAGACCGCTCACCGGAAAGCTTTATATTTCACATTGATGCTACTTACAAGCTATCAAAGAAGGGATATCCTGTGCTAGTGATTGGCATTTCGGACATCTGCAGAACGTTTCACCTCGTGGGGTTTTGTGTGGTGTCACAAACGACGGAGGAGGCTGTCACTGCAGCATTGTCAGCATTCAATCGGCTGTATACATAAGTGACTGGAAAATCAATTTGCCTGGCATACGTTATGGGTGACGCGGATGACGGGCAGTTCAACGCTCTACAAGCTGTATTTGGCTCGATGTCCAATTTCAAATTTTTGATGTGTTTTTTTCACGTCCTACTCAACGTGAGCAAACGATTGCGGTGTTTTCCCGATAATGTGGCTGCAGGAATCAGAAAAGATATTTACAACATGCATTTTTCCGAAACAAAAGAGGAGTTCCTGCGTATGGCTGATCTGTCGATAAAGCGGTGGGCTGGGCTTTCAGATGCTCCCGGGTTTGTTGACTATTTTACAAAAGAGTGGTTTAACAAGCGGGTTTTCTTGTGGCAATGCTGCTGGACTCCACCTGGGTTTGCAACTACCAACAATCCCGTAGAGCAGTTCAATAGACACCTGAAGCAGCATTACTCGCTGCATGTGAAACTGAATATGGGAACATTGTTGCTTCTATTGTTTCAATGCGCGACAAGTGAATTTGTTACTGGCAAAACATTTCGTACAACAGCGGAGCATTCATCTGCATTGGCCACGCGAATGAGAGAACTTTCTCGGGACAATATGCTGGTGGAGAATTTGGAATTTCATTACAGAGATGGAGGCATCGTCGCTGTACAGGCCAAACCTGCCAAGCGAGTGTTCGTACCCGCTAGAAGACGCACAGAAGAATATCTAGCAGTAACGGCTCAACTTGGAGCTAACTATGCTCGCATGGAAATTGGAGGGCAGCCTCCAATAGGGTGGCCTGTAGACGTGGTTAAACGAACTTGCCCTTGCAAGTATTGGGTCAAATTTGCCTACTGTGTGCACTTGCTTTTTGCTATGCAGCGCTCAGCTCTAGTTGACTCGATGGGACACGACATTTTGATGACTCGGGCAGTGGCAAGAAAGCGCCAACGAACGACGGTTCAATCTACTTCAGCTGGGCGACCACCAAGATGTGGGCCAGCACTTTCGCTGGAGTAAAGTAGTAAAGTCCAATTGAGCAGGAGTAGCACTGCTGATGCGATACAAAATAAAGACGAAATGCCTTTGTTTCAGCCATGCAAACATGCGATTTTTGTTAATTGCAGGTAACTACGCCTGTGCTTTGCTGCACTTCTTGCAACTGCAAGTGAACCACAACTTTCCAGCATACGAAACTGTGAGT